TACTTCTATTGCGACTACGAGTAGGTTTTCTACCATTACAACTATTTCTACTACTACTACTGCTACTACTACTACTACTACTACTACTACTACTACTACTACCAGTACTACTACTACTAGTACTAGTACTACTACTAGTACTAGTACTAGTACTACTGCTACTACTACGACTACAACAACAGCTACTACTACTACTACTACTACTACCACCACTACTACTAGTACTACTACGACTACTGCCACTACTACTACTACTACTACTACTACTACTACTACTACTACTACTACTACTACTACTACTACTACTACTACTACTACTACTACTACGACTAATACGACTACCACTACCACTACCACTACCACTGCCATTACTGCTACTACTACTACTACTACTACTACTACTACTACGGCTTTTTGAATTCTCATCGCCGCTTTCACAACTATTCCATCACAGCTACTACTACCACACAACTGCTACTATTACTGCTTATGCTGTTTGTCCCGCGGCCATTACTGCTAGGCTGTCCCTGAGACGCGATCGCACAGAATAGGGAGCAGCCAGACCATGAACACATGGAGCCAAGATGTTCATATCCCACATGCCAATCATCCAGGCTCAGTTCTCATGCTGCGAGGTTGAAGTTCTCTAGACATGCCGATTTTTCGAAATCTGGCAAACGCAGGGCGGGCAAAAGCGCGCGGTGCACAGCCGCGGGAGCGGCTCCAAAAAGTGGCGTTGGCCTTTGTGCCCCTCCCCCCGTCTCGTGCCCTGTTCCCCCAAACCGGCGGCCCCACCCAGAAGAAGCAGGCCAAGTGGCTCGCGGCCCAGAGCGGGCCTGGCCTAAAACCGGGTCAGAACTGGCCCAGATCCCAGGCCCAGAACATGTGGATCAATGGTCTGCTGAAAGACCAGCAGGAAGCATGCAGATCGCGATCCACTTGTCTTGTATCTTGATTCCGGCGATTTCATTCAAAGGCGGAGCTGAGGGCCCTCCGCGCCTGGCCGAAGGACAACTACGCCTGGAAGGAGGTTCAGGACGTCGTCTGGAGGGACCACCCAGCGCTGGAAGAGGGCTGGATCCGAGTGTGGTCGAGAAGCAAGGACTGCGAGTACTACGTGTACCTGTCGGATGGCAGGTCAACCTTCAACAAGGCGGAGGCTCTGGCATCATGAATGCGCCGCCAGGTGAGAATCACCGGCACGAAAGAGTCCGCGGCGCAGAAAATATGCATACATTCGGACGTGCAATATTGTCACGCATTCGGTGCCTTCTCTTTTGAGTGGCGTGAGTATAGGTGAGCAGAAGCAGAAGCGAGTCTGGGCGGGATTGAATCTAACTTCGCGGCTGGACGTGAGTGGTCCTGAGTATGCACGAGTCTTGCCGTGAGGGGGTCTGAGTATGAATTTGTTCTGGTGAAAGTGAGTCGGAGTTCGAATGAGTCTCAGTTGGACCGATCATGCTAGAGTGTCTCAGTATTTGTAGGTCAGGGTATGCATGCGGCTTAAAGTTATTGCGCAGCTCTTCGATTTCACGCGTTTCCCGCTCATGTCAAGAGACCTTTCTGGACGGGTCTGTCGATGTCAGGCGGCTCTGTGTGCACGCGGGCAGATTGTCAAAATGCACCCCGAAGCAACAGGAATGGAGGCGGAGGTTTCATGGAATTGGCGGTCCACGCAAAAGCCCCGCGGACGATGACAGTGGACCGAGCTTGGTTGCAGTTGGGCAAGGGACTTGCGAGCCAATTCGACTTGTGCAAAGTGCTTGCATTATTCCCGTGTCGCCTACCGAACGGCACTGGAAGGGGTAATCGAACCTCGGTGCCCCCCATCCACGCAGGTCGGCGCGGCCTTGTCCATGGTCTACGTGACAGGGTCACGCTGCCCGCCCCTTGTCTGCGGGCCACTGGGGAGCGAGGAAGGCACGTCAGAGGAGGTGAGAAGCTGCAGGCTGCAGATAGGAGCTGATGGCAGGGGGACGGCGTGAGTGCAGGCATGCGGTGGCAGGTGGACGACAGGAGGTAGAACAGTGGCGGCGGAGGAGGAGGGAGGTGGGGAGAGAGGGAGCAGGGGGAGGCGTTGGGAGGCCTTGTGATGCGCTTCTGGTCGAACTTGGGAATCAGGAGTCTTGAAGAGCCCTGGGGGGTGCAGTGAGGCTTCGTAGGGCTCTGAGAAGCCTTGGGCAGCTGTGTGGTAATTTGGAGGGGTTGGTGATTCTGGGAGGCCCCAGGAAAACCTCGAAGGATTGGGGTGGTGGGAGGCCTGTGAAGGCTCTGGCCGACCGGGAGCCTTGGGGGCCCCGCGAGGTCCCGACAGCCTTTGGGAACCTTGCGGTGTCGTGGAAGGCCCTTGTCTGCTATTGAAGCCTGGTAGTCCAGCAAATAGTCGATCGATCGAGACGATGACTGCAGGCGCGAAGAGTCGATGTCATCAGGAGCACCCACGTGCAGGTTCATGGAGATTCAGTCTGGAATCACTTGCAAAAAGGGGTGCGCAGTTTTTTCGAAGTGCCGCCTTGTACGCTGGCTGGCGCTTCACAGTTTCCGGCCAATGTGCGCAAGTGGGCGCCTCGTGGTTCTGATTCATTGGCTGGTGGCCGCCCGCCCGTGGGCCTCAACGTGCGCCGGCTACCACTTCCGTACCTTTCGGCTGGTGGCCGCCCGTTTGCGCCTCGCGGACGCCCACGCGCCTTGGCTGGCGCTTCCGGGTTCTCGGCCGGTACAGCCTCGTGTGCGCCCGCAGAGGACAGAAGCACCCCACATTTTGCGACAGATGTTGCACCATACGCAGGCTGTTCCACCCACACACAGGCACATACCATGCACAGTCTGCATGATAAACCGCTTGTGCCCCATGGATCTGACCGCTCGCCGACTGAACCACCAAGGTTGCTGCACCATACGCATGTAGAGGTACACAGGCGCAGATGTATGTACGTAGCACCCCGCAGCCCGTTGCTGGGGCAGGCGCCGCTGCTGGGGCAGCCGCGGCTCCTGCAGGCGACGCCGCTGCGCAGGCTGCGGGCCAGGCGCCTGCTGCGCCTGCAGCGTCTGCGGCGCCAGCGTCCGCCTCTGGTGGGGATGCGCCTGCAGCGGCGACCGCTCCTGGAGCACCGGATGCAGTTGAGGCTGCCCGTCTGGCGGCCATTGAGACCAAGTTGAAAGCGGAGGCGGAGGCGATGCTGGCCACAGCGAGGTCGACGGCGGCTTCGGCAGGCCAGTCTGGCCTTTAGCCACTCTGATCCCCTCGTTCGCGGCGGGCCTAGTGTTCGAGGGGCGAGCCCGCCTTTACCACGTACAAGATCGGCCCCTACTTGTGTGACAGATGTTTCCCCCCTTGGGCACCTGCCAGTGCCTATGGTGTCCTGCCTTGTGCCTGAGGACACATGCCATGCGCCCATGGTGTCCTTGGGGGGGACGCCTGACCACCCTTCGGCTGCGAGCCTCGAAGAAGGTGGAGGTCCATGTGCTGGGTCTTCGGGGACGCCGCGGCGCTCGTCGGCCACTTCCCAGGGCCCTCTGGACCCCGCCCCACCTGTGGTGTCTGACGCCATGGGCCCGCCCACATGGGTGGATAATGGGGGGGGAGCGTCCAGCAGCGCCCCATGTTCTTCGGCCTCGGGGTCGACTGGGACATCGGGGCTTCTCCGCTTGGCCAGGGCTGAGCCTGGAGCGGGGACATGTTCATCATTGGTGTCGCTGGGGGCTCCTCTGGCGGCGGGGAGCGATCTTGGCTGTCGGAGCGAAGCTGTGCCATCCCTTCTCCCCACTTGCGCCGATGCGGCTTTTGACTCAGTGCCAGGACAGCAGACTTCGTCGACGAGGCGAACTCTGTATATGCGAAACCTGGGTGGGTGGGGCCCTGCCACGCGGTCGGTCTGTCGCGGTCGTGAAGCGGATATCCTTGTCTTCCCAGAGACCCACGTTCCAGTTGCGGGGTCCCGCGACTTGCTGCATGACTGGAGGAAGGCTGGCTACATTGGCATGCTCTCTGCGGCTTACGAGTCGAATGGTAAGTCCAAGGCAGGAGGCATCACCATGGGCACCCTTAAGAAGGACAAGGTTCAGTCGATGCGCCACCTAGCTTCATCGCCCTCGGGTCAGGTCGGGTTGCGAGATTTGGATCGAGGTCCGAAGGACCAGCCTGGCATTGATTTTCGGGATATGGTGGCCATGCAGCTGAGGGCCCAAGGCCAGTCTCTGTTGATTGTTGGAGTGTACATGACCTCGTCGGTGGGCCCGAAGGCGAATGCTCCCAAGTTAGCCAACGTTGGCACTCTGGTTTCCACGATCCAGGGGCCATGGCTGGCCATCTGTGATTGGAATATGACGCCGAAGGAGCTGGCTAGCACAGGCTGGCTGGCCTTGGTCAACGGTGCGATCATCACCCCCACCAACGCGGAGTATACCTGCACGCTGGGCTCAGGTCGCATGTTGGACTACATGGTTGTGTCTCAGCATGCGGTGCCTTGGGTCGAGTCGTTGCTTGCTGACTTTCAGGCGGTCGAGGAGGCGGGGAAGGCTCACTACGGTCTCAAGCTTCAGCTCAACTTCGACGCCAGTCGGGCCCGAGCTTGGATCATGCGGTTGCCTCGTGCTTTCCCTCATCCTGCTCGCCCAAAGCCTGTTGCCAACCCTGACAGCAAGCGTTCGCAGAAGAAAGCGGAGGCCCAGGCCCTTCGAGATGCTCGCCCCCAGCCGGCGTTGACGCCGTCTCCGCCGACGTGGTGGCCGAGGCGTAAGCTGAGCATCAAGAGCCCTCCGCCCTTGCAGTACTCCCTCTATGGTGAGGACGAAGACGAGTTTTTCACGGACGAGGAAGATACGGATGTCCCTGAAGATAACGATGATGAGCAGGTGGCCGTCTCGGATTCTGAATTGGACACCTACGCTTCCATCCAGGCTGAGTGGTCTGCTGAGGCGAAGGACTTGCTGTGGCAGCAGGTGGCGCCCAGGCCTTCGCAATCGGTTGTTCCTGATTTTGTTCAGCAGTCTCTGGCCTTTCAAGCTGCTGATGATGACGCTCAGGCCCTTGGTACTGAATTCGCAACTTGGGTGTCCACCATGGAGTTGTATTACCTCGAGTTGTATAAGGTGGACCCCCTGGCGAGAAGGCAGTATTGTGGGCGTTCTCAGCTTCGGGGCCCTCAGCTTGGTTTCTATGAAGGTAGCAAGCCCTATCCCACAGTTGCTGACCCCAGTGCTAGATGGCGGGGGACGGTAGCTAACTTGCTAGACGAACTTGTCGGTCAGAAGGGAGACAAGCGAGACCTTCCCCGTGCTCGTCACCTGCGAGACCAGCTGCGTCATCTTGCGGGGTCGATTCCCTCCTCGCAGATGGTCCCTCTTCCTGCTCGCCGACGGGATCGGTGGTTGAGGAGCTTGCGCACGCTGGATGGAGCCTCGCATGATTCTCTGACGAAGTTCGCCGAAGGAGCGCGTGCGGCCTCGGACCAGGCCCAGCGTGCTGTGGCGCGGCAGCGGCACCAATCCTTCCGCGACTGGGTGCACCAGCAGGCCGTTCTGGGTTGTGGAGCTCTCCATCGCTTCGTACGTGACCCCACGGCTGAGGTCTCGGAAGTGAGGCTGGACGGAGTTACCTCATGCGACGCTGCCTCAGTGATGAAGGCGGAGGCAGCGGTCTGGACCCAGCTCTGGACCCCGTCGGGACACGACGATGGTCTCGCTCTCCGTGTGCTGAACAAGGCTCGTCAGCTGGCGTTGCACGACGTGCTGGAGCCGCTCACCCTGGATCAGCTGGAGGAGGCGCTCCGTGGCATTTCGCCGCGGAAGGCCCGTGGCACCGAGTCGGTCGGCCAGAGGGACGTGCGGTGGCTGCCTGAGTCTGGCCGCCGTGCGCTGCTTGCCATCTACCAGCAGGTTGAAGCTAGGGTCGCGTGGCCTTTGCAATGGCTGACTGCCATCATCGTCTTGCTTCGCAAACCTGATGTGCGTAAGGATCGCGCCATAGGATTGCTCACCTGGTTGGGTCGTTTGTGGAGTCGCTTGCGGTCTCGGCCTGCGGAGAGGTGGGCTTCTGCTCGCTATGGCCCTTGGGGCGCCGTGGTTCAAGGCAACAGCGCTCTACGAGAGGCTTTGCTCAGGTGTTATGCTAATGAGGCTGCTCTTGCGTCTGTGCTGCCAGAGTATTGCTCAGCGTCGATCCTGTGGGATGTCGAAGCTTTTTATGATACCATTCGATGGGAAAAGGTTGTCGATCATGCGATCGACTTGGATTTTCCCCCTCACCCCTTGGCCCTGGAAGCTATTCTCCATATGGGGCCCAGGCTTTTGCGGGACGAGGGGGCTTATGCCCTTCCCATTCTTCCGCGCGGGGGCCTCGTGGCGGGCGCTCGCAGGGCCACCGATTTCTCGAAATGCCAGATGTTCGAAATTTGTGATCGTGCGTGCGCCAGTAGTTCTCTCGTGCCCCTGCGCACCTGGATTGATGATGTCACTCAGCGTGCCGAGGGGTTGAAGCGAGATGTAATTCGGGAGCTCATTTCTGTCGGTGCTGTTTTTGTTTCGGGCTGTGAATCTGAGCAGCTCAAGATTGCTAACAAGTCGACCATCGTGGCGTCAGAGCTGTCGGTGGCGAGAGCGATCCAAGCTGGTCTAGGTCTGAAAGGCATCCAGGTCGAAGTGGCCTCGGTTGCGGCGGATCTTGGCATCGAAAGAGGCAGCGGCGCTGCAGTTGCCAAGCCTCGTCATTCAAAGCGTTTGGGTCAGGCCACTCGTCGAGCCTGCCGAATTAATAAGCTAGCTGCAGTGGCCCCTCGTAAGATCGGGGCGCGGTTGATCCTCACTGGGGCTTTGCCGCAGGCTTCTTACGCCTGGAAGGTCTTTGGGGTCGCGCCCTCGGTCCTGCAGAAATGG